GGTTTCATCAATTTTGGCATACAAATATATGTCAATAATTCTTATAATTCCTGTTTCCCCTAATTTTCTTGCAAAGAGACTTGAAAGCCAGTAGTGGAGATGTGTTTCAATACAAGAAGTGTAATGTGAATTGTTACGAGATGATACTTCATGGGGCATAGGTGCAGGAGAAAGGGAAGCTTCTACAAAAAATGTAACGAGCTGTAATTTCATGATACAAGTTCAACAACAGAGAGACGGGTACATAGACTGGACAGGCAGAGAGATCTACAAGGAACAACATTTTGTGAGTGCATGAAGGAGTGTAGTAATAGTATTAATTATTGTTATCTAGGGTATCGCTTTACAATAAGTAGTAATTATTGTTAATAACACAGTACAAATTGAAGTTAGAATTGATGGAGACATTAAGAGATATGAAGGAATACATTTTCCTCTAAAGATAAATATAAACATTCTAAACAAGTTTGGTTTTACTTTTACCAGTTTTGTCCTTTAATGGATAAGTGGACATGTATATTTTGCTAATGTATAATGTGAATTTGTAAGAGATACACTTGGCTTGTCATAGAGTATTATTCATGATTATTTGACTGAGGAATCCTCTAAAAATTAAACAGGTATGTATTTCTGAAAAAGGGAAGTGTGTGAGAAAATCAAGTTTGGGAAATATTGTTGTAATATGTTTTAGAGGGAGATATTAACAGAAAGCAAGAATTATTTTGTTTTTGACCTTTGTCATTGATTAAAGCATAAAGAACCTTGATTTGCATCAACATTTGGTGGGCTAGATGACAGACTACCAGAGTCTAGATAATGTGATTTCAGCATATTTCATCAAAGCATGTTGGTATTAGACACGAATTTGCTGTGCAACTTTTAAAGAAAAGTTATTTATCAAGTAAGAAGCCTTCCCTCAAATTAAATGTAATGATGATACCATTTACTTTATCATTTCTGTATTATCTAGATGTATCAAAATAAGATAAAGGAAAATATTGGTGTAAAAATTATGAGTTTATAGAATAGTTAAAAGACCATAGGATGACCAAATCAGTAAATTGTATTTAGTAGACTTAAACTTTAGAATTAAGTACGTAAAGCTGCATGTACGTTCCATTCTGCAAGTAAGGTTCTTAGAATGGTGGAATGTAAAGGAAAGAAGAGGAGAAAAGGGGAAGAAAGGTGAGAGGAGAGAAGAAGGAAGATCAGGGAAGGGGGTGGAAAGAAGAGGAGGAAGGGAGTAAGGGAGGTGAAGGGAAAAGACAAAAGAAAAATAAATGAAAAGAGAGGACAGGACAGACAAAAGAGAAAGAGGGTGGGCGGCATCTGTGGCTCAAAGGAGTGGGGCGCCGGCCCGTATGCCACAGGTGGTGGTTCAAACCCAGTCCCCAGCCAAAAACTGCAAAAAAAAAAAGAGAGAGAGAGAGGGAAGGAAAGACAAAGGAATGGATAGAGAGAGGGAGAGGGAAGAGAAAGAAAGCAATTAAGTCAATTGAATAAACCCAGCAAGTTAAGTCTGGAATATTTTGTGAGATTTATAGTTTATAATAATCATGTTTTATTCTCCTGAAGGGCCTTAATCCATGTTTTGGAGAAGATTGTCATGAAATCATAATTCTACATAAAATAGATCAAAAATCAACATATAGGAACATATATTGACAACTATATTATTAATATTCTGAAGAGCCCCATTTGTATTTTCTATAAACCCATCCACACCCTGTCATTGAAACTGCCTCGAAGCCTCCTCTGAGCTCTCCTATGCAAATTCTTTTAGAGCTTCAAGAAATTTCACTACTTAGGCGGCGCCTGTGGCTCACCTGGCCATGAGGTGGTTCAAACCCAGCCTGGCGAAACTACAAAAAATAGCCAGGCGTTGTGGCGAGTGCCTGTAGTCCAAGCTACTTGGGAGGCTGAGGCAACAGAATTGCCTACGCCCAAGAGCTGGAGGTTGCTGTGAGCAGTGATGCTACAGCACTCTATGGAGGGCAACAAAGTGAGACTCTGTCTCTACAAAAAAAAAAAAAAAAAAAGACATTTCACTACATAGTAAAAGTAAACATATGTGTTTTCGTTCTTTCTTTCTTCTTTCCTTTCTCTCTCTGTCTTTTTTCTTCTTCTGTAAGGTAGAACTTTTTACTAGGAAAATTGAATATTTTGGGATCTGGTATTAGATATTTTTTAAGTAAGAATTCCTTACTGTCAATATGAAGAATGCATTTTTAAAAACCAAAGAAAGTTCTACTGAGAACAAGAATATAAGAACCAAAGATCAATTGTTTAGCTTTTAGGTGAAAGCTAAATTTGGGTTTAAAAAGTATTTGGTTTATCCTGAATTGTTTTTTTAAGGATTTACTTGCTTAATTTTTTTTTTTTTTTGGAGGCAGTGTCTTGCTCCATTGCCCAGGCTATTAGGGTACAGTGGTAATAATGGTTGCTCACTATACCTCCAACTCATGGGCTCAATAGTCCTCCTGCCTCAGCCTCCAGATCATGTGGGATGACAAGCATGGGCCCCCATGTCTAGCTAACTTTCTAATATTTGTAGAAACAGTTCTGGCTATGTTGCCCAGGCCCATCTCAAGGTTCTGGCCTCAAGCTATCATCTCTTCCCAGCCTCTCAAACCTGAGATTATAGGTGTGAGCCACAGTGCCAGGCCTATTTGTCCAAATTTTAAATGCTGAGGATTTTAGACAAAATATTTCATGTGCTCTCATAAAAAGTAAAAATACATGGCCACCTCGTGCTGAAATTCTCACAGGGATTTTTAGAAACCAAAACCAAAGGCATTTGTCTACTTTGGATGTTGCCGTTTTTCTAATATTTTTGTCTACTTTGCTTCATTCATTTATGATTGCCCCCTTAAGGGTTTAAGCCTTGCCTTTTGTAGCAAAAATACATGTTATAATAGAACATTTATAATCTTCTCAGTGTTTTCTAATCAAATTTAGAGACGTTTTGACAAAAGGCACCTCTTTCTGGGAGGCACCCCAGCCGTGTGAATTCTCAGCTTCTCTCGGTTGACATTCTGGGCCATCAGCACTTGGCTTGTCAGCACACAGATTGAGGCTGGAGTTGGGACTTCAGCAAAACTGAAGCTCTATCTAATTAGTGACAGTTCACTTCATTAGAGCTAAGCGCATAGCTGTTCATGTCACAGGAGGATGAAAGATACTTTCAGTTTTTAATCTCGCTGTGTCCTTGAGATTTTCAACTAAATAAAATTTCAGTTCATCGTTCATTTCAACTAGCATCTGTGTAGAAACACTTCTTACGCAGCATTCAAGTTACGTACTAAAGAAGTAATAATTCATGTTGAATTATTGTTCCTTTTACAACTACTGAAACTAAATCAATGACAGAATGGAAAAGCAAACATATCAGTGACTTAACAGTCATCGATTGTATTTCCTGAATTATTTCATCATATGAAAACCCTTACAATGAAGTGTAAAGTATAGTAACTTTGTAGGTGTGATTCAAACCAAATATACATTGTACATTATTATGTTCAGGAAATCAAGGATATGAGGTTTGCTAGCAATGGGGAAGTTTTATATTCACAGTCAGTACTGGAAATAGGAAGCTTCGCTGGCCCCAATCAAGAGGTGTCTGTCATTTTCTGAAAAGCAGGTGTCTGTTGTTTGTGGCTGGTTTTGTTCTTGAGAATGGAATGGAGAATATGGTGTTTGAAGATGGTAGAATGAGCATGGCAGTGCAGGCCAGTGAGTAAGTAAGGTGAGTCGGCAATAAAATAATATTCTTCTAATAGTGCGCCGAATGAGAAATGAACTGGCATAAAATACTGGATTACAAATTTTCTGTATTTAAAAAAACTTCCTAGGTAATTATCCTTCAAAAATCTTGCTTATAATTATACTACAAGAAAAGAAAGCACATCTTTACGTTAGCCAGGTGTGGCCATTTTCACAACTATCCGTATAAAAATTATACCAGATGCTATGTTTTTAATTGAAAGGTGAATTTTGTAAACTAACATTCTGTTTAACATGGAGATTTTCCCCCTCTCAATTAAATATTTATTGTTCAGGGAAAATATCTGGTTGATCAGAACTGATATTCAGATAAAAGTGATTTTTTTTTAGGTGGGGCTAGGCTAGATGTAGTGAATTAATAAATACTGAACAGCCAAACAAGATGTCCTTAACTTATGGTGTTTTCTTACATATCATAGGAACACAAAGCACTGAGTTGTTGCTCTTATACAATGTCAGGAATGCCTTCAGGCAGGTATTATACAAAACTTTGTTGAGAGCCTATTATGTGGAAGATGATTGAGAATTCAGAGGGAGGAAGGGTGAATGACAGATAGATTGATAGGCAGACACATGTCCTCTATTCCAAAAAGCTTGGAATCAATTTAGGAAAACAGGTTATATACAGTCAATTAAATAATCATATTAGATGACTTAGTTTGAGCATCCAGTGAATGAAGGAACGGGGTAGAAAGTAGTTTGGGCTGTGTTGCTACTTGGAGATCTGGGGTGGTTGAGATGTAGAATGCACACCAAGCATTGACATTAGAATACTAGTTAACTGAGCACAGGAAAGAAACAGAGGAGTAGAAAGTCCCCCAGTATACTTAGTTCTTGGAAATTATGCAGTATGCGATTCTCTTGCCTCAGCCTCCCGAATTGCTGGGACTTCGGACGCCTGGCTATTTTTTGGTTGCAGTTCTTATTTTTGTTTAGCTGGCCCGGGCTGGATTCAGACCCACCAGCCTTGGTGTGTGTGGCTGGCGCCATCATCACTGTGCTATGGGGGCTAAGCCAGATGTTTTCTTTCTTAAAAATAAAACCCATTTTATCTTACTATATGTTAGGTCTCTTTCCCCACTTGTTCTTCTCTGAACCTGAGTATTGGCACACTTTGGAGCAGCTGGAAAAATCTCCCTCCTCCTCTCATCTTGGTAACCTCTCCTTATAAAACTCTGGGTTCCTTGCAACAGTTAACATCCCCTCTATTTCCCTAGGTTCTCCGTATCGAGACAAAATCACCATAGCAATTCTGCAGCTGCAAGAGGAAGGCAAGCTCCACATGATGAAGGAGAAGTGGTGGCGGGGCAACGGCTGCCCCGAGGAGGAGAGCAAGGAGGCCAGTGCCCTCGGGGTTCAGAACATCGGCGGCATCTTCATTGTCCTGGCAGCCGGCCTAGTGCTCTCAGTGTTTGTGGCGGTGGGAGAGTTTTTATACAAATCCAAAAAAAACGCTCAATTGGAAAAGGTAAATGTCACTTTTTTACAATTTAAAATCTTTTTTGTTATCATGAGACACAAATCAAAATATTTGTGATCTTTTGAACGAAAGGTCATCCTTAGAACTATTGTCTTAAATCGTTCATTGTGTAAAAAATTGTATTTTGTGAAATATATTACACAAAAGGACTCAGGGTCACCACGATGGTTTTCGACTGACTTGTAATGTGTTTAATGGAGCCAGCGTCGGGACAAATGGCTCCTGATCTACTCTCATGATCTACTCTCATAGCACACTGAGAAAAGAGAAACTGTCTGAGGTTCACTACAGTGGGTTTAATGGAAGGATGCAGTTAATTAAGGAGGCAAAAATAAGAAACCGTAGTGTGAAAGAAAAACTGCTTCTTTGCAAATAAAAATAAAGGTTTTAAGATACACTACTGGTTAGTTTCAAGTTGAAAGTAAAGGAGAATTTTATTTGAACATCTTACAGTCCCACAAATTTCTGCTTGAAAAAAATCTCAGTTTGCATTGGAAAATTGCAGTTAATTCTCTACCGTAATGAATGTGTAAAAATATTATTTTCCACCATTCAATGTGATTTTTAATTAGTTCTTTACTTTCTTGTGCCAGAGTCTTTATAAGAATGAGTATAAATCTCCAAACTATTGAGACTATAATAATTTTTCTTTGGATTTCAATACATTTAGTCAATTGTATAAATGTTTTTGTTTTCTTATCTTGAAAAAATTGTTGCCTCCTTCAGATTCTACATTTCTAGTACAAAAATTACCTCATTTCCATAGATATGAGAACAAGTGGAGAAAAATTCCACTTTCAGATGGTACACGATACTTTTTGTTTATAAATTTATGGGTCTGGACATGAAATAACTAACATTTTTAAGTCTTCACATAAAATTTTAAGATTTTTGTAGTCTTTTGCATTTAATTCTTTCTTTTGGTTTTAATAAAACTCATTTCTTAAACAACTTTAGCTATTGTGGAAGAGTGATATTACAGAATAGTTAATATTTAAAAGGCTTATGAACTTTTATTTGTAAATACAAAAGGCAGAACAATAATATTTTAAAAATAATACTATTTAGGAATACAGAGCATATTGTGCTAATATTCTTTGAAATGCTTCTGCCTTTATACTCTTCTCAAAATAAAAATCTTCCTTTGTCTTAATTTATAGCATGATTCCTTAGCCTTCCTAAAATTAGAATTTTGTATGCAACATTTATACATTTTTGCTTGACTGCATTATTTAACGCAGAGAATGGACTGATGATTACGCCTCAGTATACTTTCTGTGTTATAATTCTTTTTATGATGTCAAAATGAGGTTCAAAATTAAACCCAAAGACTAAGAACGAAAATATGAACTCATCAGTTACTATTTTCATTCAAATTGTCAATAAATGTTATATTTAGTTAATGTTTAATATAAGTCCAAAAATTGTGGAAGGAATTTGGGTTTTCTTCTCGGAACCCAAACTCATCCATATGTAAAGATTTTCTCTAATCTATAGCTCAGTGTTAAAATAAAACAAATGAATGACAATGTGTGATATTTGGTTGTTCCTATCTCTCTGTGCCCTGTTCAATCTCTATCACAATTTTCTTTTCAAGCATTTTGTTTAGAGAAAAAAGTGTGAGAAGTTAATTGTATAACGTAACCTGCTTCTTTATTATTATGAATAAGAAGTTTGGTCGAGTTTTTCAGATATCAACTAGATCTGTTGGCACTGTATGGACCTATATGATCTTCTAAAAACTGGAGAAATGAAATTAATATACGTTTTTAACTGAAACAGATACAGCATTAACATGACAGTAGAAAGAAACAAGCGAGTTGATACTGTGTGAGGACTGTGGTCGCAGTCCCTGTGAGTTCCGACAGTTTCCACATAGCTTTCACAGTGAAAGGCACTTTCCCTCCATTAACGGATGGGACCCTTCAGAAACTGTGTTCTCTGTTGTGGTTTTATATTTTGCTTCTCTCCGATTTTATTTCACCTTTACTGTTGCCACACTAAATTATTTGCAATTTCCCAAGGACATACCTTTCCTGTTGACTGGAGCTAACTTTGCCAATTTTTCTGCTTTGCAAACTCTCACTAGTATTTTAGACTAGATATTTAAAATAAGGAAGTTTCCCCTAATCAATAGATAGGGTTTGCACACAGTAGATAGCTTATTTCTATAAGTTGAATGTATGCTTTTATTTCCTATTTTCATGAAAAAATATGTGATTCATATATCTTGCTTTTTTACTTCACTGGTTTCAGGTACAAATATTCCTCCTGGCCAGGTGCCATGGCCCATGCCTATAATCCTAGCACTCTGGTAGGCCAAAGTGGGAGGATACCTTGAGCTCATGAGTTCAAGACCAGCCTGAAAAAAGCAAGACCCATCTCTACTAAAAGTAGAAAAAGTTAGCTGGGCATTTCGGGAGCCAACTACAGTCCCAGCTACTTGGGAGGCTGAGGCAAGTGGATCTATTGAACCCAGGAGTTTGAGATTGCTGTCAGCTGGACTGAGGCCATAGCACTCTAGCCTGGGGCAATAGAGTGAGACTCTGTCCTAAAAACAGAATAAAATAAAATAAAAAATATTTCTCCACTTTTGATGAAGTTGAGAAGGTATTTAGCTCTTTTCAAAATCATTTCCAGCATTAAACCTAGATACTTTTACTTTGTAAACCCCTACTCCCATCTCATTGTCCCTTGGCACAATATTGTATTTGTAATCATCCTTCCCATGTGTCAGTCAGGGCCTCGCTCCCTGTCAGATTCTTTGGGGCCTGCATGGTGCCTGCTGGTAGCTTCGTATCTGTCTGTCATTTAAATTAGTAATAAAACTTATTCTAGTAACCTATTTTGAAAAGTCTATCTAAAGAAAAACATGTTTTTCTATGTAAATTAAAATGATAAATAATTATGGATTTATTGAAAATAATTCATTATATTCATTGGGACAAATCAGATTCTTGGGTTCAGTTCTTTTTCATTTTTCTTGAGAAAAAGATCTCTAAGGTTAAACTACATGGCTGTTAGTATAACTAATGTATTAAAATTAGACATTAAGATTTTATCATACGATATGTATGAGTACATAGAGAAATTCTGTTTACTTTCATTTACCATGCATGACGTAGATTTCTTTAATTTTAAAAGTGAGGGAAACATTTATGAAATTACTTGTTTATTCCATAAATGTTTATTGAGAACTAAATCTTCAGCGAATTGTTTTTTGGACACTGAAGCGAAGCAGAATGTATAGGTCACAATTCCAGCCCCATTTTGCTCTGTCTCTTGCCTCTTCTCTCTACCCTTTTCCTTCCTCTTCCTTTGGTCCACATTAATTCAGTATTTTTTAAAAGAACAAATGAACTCTTTAAATCTTTGTACGTTGTCAGATATGATATACACAGTTTGGATGAATATGAATTTTCTGAACAAATTCATGTTTCATCTTTCCATTTCAAATCTTACCTCTAACAATGATGATGATGAAATTATAATCATAAATTTTATAAGTTAAAGATGGGAATAAAATGCCTTTCATAGACATAGGCTGTAAAATATTAATGAAAACAAACAGCTCTTGGTGACTGTAACCTTTCTTACATTTCCACGTTATCTGCTATTTAAGAATAGTCCAGAGATGTATCATCCTAAGTGAGGGAAATAAACAGAATATAAAGCTGGACCTTAGTAAATTTAAAAAATGTAAATTGCATTCCTTTCCGATAACCACAAGATGGTGTCTGATAATGTTTGTAAAAATGGCTTTATGATGTTAATATTAATTCATTATGAATACATTATTTTTGATTTACTCAGAATCTTAAGGTGAATACTCAGAATGTTTTCTTGTTTGAATGTCTGAAAAAGTAACTAATCAATGTATGCACTTTATATGATTTTTTGCCTTGTCTTTTCTTTTATTTTAAACATATGCTACTTAAGTTTTATTAAGTGAGTAAGCCAAGAAACTGTTATATATTTGAGACAGTGGTCATTGCATTTTAAGTGTATATTTCAGACTAAAAGGTCTTTCTCTCTCTCTTCTAAGACCTACTTATGAAACAAACTGCTTAATATTAATAATCTTTTTCTCCTGGTAATATATACGATAACATGTTGGCTTTGTAAGCATGAATTATAAGTGATCACAATAATTTTAATCTGTATAAAACTATTATGCCATTATAGTTTTATTAATTTATGTTTAAAATCACTCATCTTAAAAGTATTTGAATATGTCCTCTTTTAAAGGATATACATAATTTTGGCTACTTTTGATTTTCAGCCAAAACAACAACATAATTTATGCAGTTTGATCTTTTCTTGTTTGACTTGTATAGAGGAATATTTTCTTTCCCATGTAATTTAAAATGGATTTGCCTGTATGAGTTGTTTTTATTGAATGTCTTGAACATAAATTATAATGCTTCATTCCATGAAAAAAAGATAAAACCAAAAATTTTCCTTCTTTTTTTACTCAAGTGTGAACGAAATATGGATAAATACGTCTCAGAAATTAAAAAATACAAATTACTGCTCAGATCCTAAGTTTGTGAGATAAGTATCCCATCCTGGACATGTATTTTGTTCTATCTTTACTGACGAATGGTTGAAGTATATTTTAGGAGCTGTATTGTATTGTTTACTTTAGTTGATGTAGTCCTTTCTCATACAGAACATTGGTAAAGCTTATCCAAGACAGTCTCTAAATAATGACTTTTTTTCAGTCAATAACAATTTTTAAAAAAAGACTTTTAGAGGGCACCTAGAATGTTCTTGATGTATAGTTGAATAACAGAACAAAATGACTGTAAATCCGAATAGTAGAAGCACAAATGAATGAAACGTTGGACAACGATAAGTAATTTAGAGCAGTTTAGTTTCAGCCTGCAAGACTAGGGGTACTAGGTGACAAATTACTGGTAAGGGCAGCACTTTGCAAAGCTGACTGAATCTATATTTCATGGAAACGAAAGAATGAAAACAAGTTGCTCACAGATCCCTATATACAAATTTCTTTCAAAATGTTGAAAAATCAGTTTTAACAGGAGCAATGCTGTTTTAAAAAAAGAATCTACTCTTTGGTTAGGGGAAAGGAATGAAAGCAATCAATTATAAATTATAAATTATTATTATAAATTATCAGTAAATGTTATATTTCGACATTTATAATAGGCCAAGTAATGACTATTTACACCTCACAAAATATCTATACTTTTCAGTAATTACAATTGATGTAAGGGATTTTCATTTCATTTAACTTTTCAGAAGTTAAAAGTGCTGAATATAATTTCAGTGTTAAAAACATATCTGTAAGGCTTGTTGTTCATGAAGAGTTAAAAGTTGTAAGTAAATTTTGGACACATAGTCCATTTTTTATTGTTCTTATAATGTATCACTGCCTTTTTCTGGAAGCAGAGTGTCTCAATTTCCATTAATGACCTTGTGCTACATATAAGGACTAAATGGATGTGACTTTTTAAATGGCTTCAAGTGTAAATATAAAATACTGAACTTTGAAATGAAGTGCCAGTCTCCATTCTACTCACTAATCTACTCCTAAATCAGCTAAAGGATTTTCAGGTCATTTGTTTATGATAACCCGTATTGGACTTTTGAAATTAAAATTAGAGTTTGACAGGGAGTGTTTTAGTACCTAAATATTATAAATGACTTTAGACTTTCTAAAATGTAATACAAGACTCTTCTGAATACAAAACGACCCTGAGAGTCTTGCAAATATTATTATCCACAATGTGCAGATGGGGATTACAATATCTCAAGGGTCAAGTATGTTTTTCAAGGTCAAAGATGCCTGGTCTAACACTGCGCTATCCCATGCTGTACAAAATGGAGGTAGAATATGTAACTGTTTTTATTTTTCCTTGAAGTTGCACGGAGAAAATATGTGGATTAGGGGTTTGAATTATATCAACAGACTGTGGACTTTGATTAAAAGTAGTCTTAATTATTTCGCTTTCCTAGATACAGAATTTTGGAATCAAAAAGACTTGCAACCATAACTTAACTTTGTTTAGCCTTAGATAAAATTGCTTAGCTTAGTAAAACTTCTTTTTAAATAAATAAATGTATAAGGTTATCAATACATAAGGAAAGTCCTTTAAGAATTAAGGTACATAATATACAGAGAGGGTTTTTTTCTTTGTACAAACCTGGCATATAAGAAACAGCCAGTTTTATAAAATCACCATTTTTATCATTATTAATAAAGCTGATACATTTAAACTTCTGGATCTTAGGAAAAGGGAGCATTCCTGGCATTAAGTGTTAACTATTAGTATGTTATATATATATATATATTTTTTTAAGTTGCATCATTATAACTATAAACAAAACTATGATGATTAATATTACTTTTTCTTAATATGCATCTGGACAACTGTATTGACTAAAGTGGTGTTGAGGCTGGTCAGACCTTACTTACTGATTTTTCTACTTTAAACAGAAGAAGTATAAAAGTGTGTAATGATGTTCCATTTTTCTTTGTCTCATTGTATTTGCAAAATGCAATATGAAGATATTGGGCAACTGTAAGAATAAACGTTTCTGAGAATATTTTAATCCTTGGCAAATGTTTGTCATTGTAAAATAATTCAGCCTAAAGCATAAAATGCTTTGTCATTTAATTCACTGAAAGAGATATGTATTCCGTTTTTCTCCTAATTTTTCCTGTCTGGCTTATAATTTAGTATTCAACAAATTAACATTTACTAAGAGTCGAGTCCAGGTAAAATTCTCAGTTGTGAATGAAATCCTTATTAATGAAGCAGGTTAATATGATAAAGCATTCACAGAATGGAAGTCAAGATAATAGGGATCCTGTTTCAGCTCTGATACTAGTTATATTCATTATAGTAGAGATGTAATTTGACTGTTTAGGTTTTAGTTTTTCTAGCTGTAAAATTGCAGTGATTAATCAATACAATTGCCAGGGATCCTACATACAAAGTCCCTTCTAACTACTGCATAACTTATATAAATAATAGAACTTTTCAAAAAGATAGCTGCTCTAAAACTGAATATCCAGATCAAGGTTACCATGTATTTGTTAATATGAGTGATTTAACCAGCCATTTTTCATCTTTCATTGCTTCACTGTATATTCATTTAGCCTCAGGTGGATCAGACTTCTGATACATAGCATTAGCAGTTTGATATCTTTAAAAGACCACCAATTAAAAATGGTATAAATCAAAAGAAAATTAGGTAACAGATCACATCAAATGATCTTTTTTGTTTAATATACCAATATTACGTAGACTATTCTATGTTACACCCTGTACATGCTTAATCCGCTTTAGTTATTATTTAGTTTATTTATTTTCCAATGTAGGATAATTTTCTTCTGTTGACCATAGTGACTGCTTTGATTGTCTCCATTACATACTGATAATTCTTGAGCAAATGGCCAAGAGAGCTGAAAACTACACTTGATCTTAGCCAAAAGGCCGAGAAGCAATTAGAGAGCTGAAAACTAGCAAGAAAGCATCTCAGAATGGATTATATATCCATGATCAGTTGAGAAGGAATTGAAACGGCAAACACAAAAACAGTTGGGTTGATATGTGCTCAGGTACATCCCTATATCAGAGCAATGTGGTAGAAGACGTGATGGAAGCAGCTCAAAGATAGTTTGGTAGGGCCCTAAAAAGGAATTAATGTATGAGCAAAAAATGGTTAGAAATTACCCTGGTTAAATCATCATACCAAAATACCATTAGTTAATTTTATACTATCAAAGAATATACAAGCAAAAATAAAACAGTTTTTTCTTTGTAAAAATATGTATTGGAAGTATAGCAACATATAACATTTTATGATTGTTTTGTGTTCAGGTGGTAAATGAATACCTATGCCCAACTGGGGAACATTGAGCTTAAGAGTTTAAAAAATGAAACTGGCTATTTTTCTTCAGTTACCATTTTTTAAAATACATGGCTAAAAATTATGGTTTTACCTTCAAAATGAAATTTAGATGTGTCATTGTTCAATGGGGAGCATGGTTAAAATTAGGTTTTAATATATATATTTAAAAAAAAAAACAAAAAAACTGTGCTTCTCCAAATGCTGCAACATAGCATTCTCATATAAATGGGTCTTCTAAATAGAAACTGAAGCTATTAAGAATAAATGATGCTGCAACATCACTGAACATTCTGAAAAACATTTGTATGTGGATTATATATGTGTTTTCATATTATACTCCAACTACAGAATAGAGCTGTAAAATAAGCGATGTGAATATGGCCCAGTTCAGATTTTTAAGGTTTACAGACCTTCACTGTTCAAGGAATTCAAGGTGTATAAATACAGAGTGCCTCATTCAATATAATGAATTTTATGAAGAATTTTAAAAATTTAAATGCAATTATACGTGCTAACAGCTCAAAGATTTAAATTTTCATTTTCAGGAATCTTCTATTTGGTTAGTGCCACCATACCATCCAGACACTGTTTAGTAAACTTTTGAAACTTACTAAAAGAGGTTTTTAATAATGGTTAGTATCCTTGTGACTTTCTTTTTCCTTTTTGTAGTCTGTTATATTAATGTGGAGAATCATTTATATTGCTGTTTTCACTCCAAAGAGCTTACTATTAATGACACAGTGCATGGGTTTCCACTACTAAGGAAAAGTGATTTAAAAAGTAAGAGAGTTGTCCCCCTCTCTCCTTTCCTCTCTTCTTTTCTCCCTTTCTTTCCTTCTTTCTTTTATTTTTCTTCTTTTTGTCATAACCTAGGAAATGCCTCTTAAGTACATTGGGGTTTTCAAAAAAAAAAAAAAAGCCTTTTGTAGTCCAGTAACATATTTTAAGTAAATTTCAATTATATGAAGTATAAAAGATAAGTTTTCTCTGTTGCAAAATAACAAGTACGCATTTTATTTAAAATTCATGCATAGTAATTTTTGGCAATGCATAGCACAGGGAAATGACTATATTTCACAAAACTCATAAAAGTTTCAAGATAGGGAATTTTCCCTCTAACGCTCTAAAAAAAAAAAAAAAGGAAAGAATATGTGTTTGCAAATTAAATTCCTTTAATTTGCCATATTCTAAAATCTTTCTCAAATTGAAATGTTTTTAAAGTTACACAATGGGTTAGGATTATTCTATAAGTGAGACGTGAACCTGTTGTTTCACAGGTGACTCTGTTAGTACCTGAAAATAAAACTATTTTTTTCAGGTAAACTTCCATGGATAGATCAAAAAGGAACTGGCAAAATTCAGTCTATTTAGGGGAAATTAATAAAATAGGCACCTTGTCATTATATAAACAAGACCACTGATTTATTAAGGATTGATTGACGGACTAAAATTTTTCACTTTCTAAAGACTTTGTAAAATGAGATAAAACTTAAAATGGTAGTTATTGGTTACATGTTCACAATATTGAGATAGTTTCCAAATTTGTAAATATATTCACCTGAGACCTTTCTGGTCTTTTGAGGGATTTTTTTAACCTACATTTCACTTTATCAATATTGTGCATTTAATATTATATAAAATTACTTTAAAATAGTTTTATATATACTTTTTATAGTCTGAAGCAGGGTAGGTTACTAAGTACAGAGTGTACCCCTTAACATACTAGAAATAAAATTGAGTCATTTCATAGTTCACTATTAGTATAGACACAATATTAATTCATATTTATCTTCTGTTTGGAAACTAATAGAATCAAAATAACTGAAAATAGAGATTGCTGGGATATTTATTAGTTTTACATGAATCTGTATTTCAAACATTTCAATGTTTTTCACATCCTATAACATTTTTAAGTGTCAACAGGATCACACTTTGACCTTGTCATATTATCTAATCAATTCTTCTGTTAAATGTTTCAACAGAGAACCAAGACTAAGTTACCTCAAGACTATGTATTCCTCCCTATTTTGGAGTCAGATTTTTCCATTTCTACAATGTTGTCATCATCATCATCTTCATCATCATTATCATCATGTTCTTAATAAGTACATCTAATAGTAGGTATTAAGCAACAAGAAACATTGTGTCCACATGCTGCCTGTCAGGGGCCACACAGATTCTTTAATAGAAGTATGATTCATGAATTTCAGAAGTGTATAATTTAACACATAATAAATAATGCATGGCAGTGACTCTGGAGTTAATGGAGAATTCATGAGCAGTGTTTAATCACCATCCATTGCAAGTGCTAATAAATTAATAGTTTTATTAATTTAATGTTATTAAACAAGTGCTAAAGTTTTGCCTGATTTAATTAGATAACAATACATACTGCTAAGTTCCTCCACCTGAAAAAGTGTTTTCAGTAGCTGAATTATAAAAATGTGTTAAAGAGGAATTAAAGTATTAGGGTTAGATGTAATGATTGTTGTTAATTCAGTCAACATTTAAAGATGGCGTGTGTAGAAGCAGTGCCGTGAAAACTTGATCTCCGCTCTCTACAGTTCAGTGAGAGTGATACATGAAAGACTCTGAGGCCAGACAGAAAAACAGAATAATGAGTACAAAATATTGAGAGGCTAACTCAAAGTCAAGTGAAAATAATGGGCCTGGTCGGTTGGAAAGGACTTCCTAATGAAGTTAAAGCTTGTCACATCCTGATGTACAGGATAAAGTTGTGTTGATGCAAAGCATAAAAGCACTCAGCAGAGTACCAGAACAAGGGGACACAAAGGAGGACAGTCATGCAGGCCCAAGAATAAAGGGTGTGTAGAGAGAGAAGGAGGAGGGGGAAGGGAGAGAGGACAGATCAGGAATCATTAAGTCATGATGGGAAAAAATAGGAGATTTAAATTTGACCTCTTTCCTAGAAAAGAAAATGCTATTGATAATGGATGTTTTTTAAAAATAGATTATCCTATTTTCCTGGTAATTGTAAGCCTGTAGGGGGAACAGGGTGGATTCAGTGTTAAAAAGACCACTAAGGAAAAGTTGTAAGGAACCCATCAAAGAGAAATGAGGATAGAGCTACAAATGGACTAGAGTGTAGTAGAAGCATGTGCGATTCGCAGTACTGGCTGCCAGGATATTCTGCAAAGTCACAGGTATGAGCTGCTAATCAGTTTCTCTGACACAGAGCTGTCTCACTAATTCAGAGTCTTATTTTGAGTATCAATCATAGAATATTTAGTATTTTTTTAAATTTTAATTTTTTCAAATATTTTTTCAAATTTATTTTTAAATTGACATAAAATTATGTGTATTTTTCATATATACTATGATGTTTTGAAGCATATATACATATATACACACACACACATATTGTGGAAATGCTTAAACCTAGATAATTAACAAATACATGACCTCACACAGTTATCTTTTTTGTAGAGAGAAAATTCAATATCCACTCTCTTAGCAACTTTTAAGAACACAATATATCATCATTAACATGCTGCAGAGTAGATCTCTTAAACTTTTCCTCCTATCCAACTGTAAATATGTATCCCCCAAAAGTAAGATACTTATTTATATTATATTATTTTATCTTATATTCTCTTGCAGTTAGCCTAAGTTGATAATCAATAAAACAACTAAAATGCAATTAAGTCTTCTCATGCATATTTGATTAGTTTATTTCATTGCCTTTTCATATCACTTTATAGAATGGTGTGAATTTTTGATACTTGTCTACATTTTTGGTTGTTTTCTCTGAGTTTCAGCTACAATGTGCAGTCGGTTCATGAATCTGATTTATATGTAACTGACACACGTGCCTCCATCAGGTAGGGAGAGAGACTAAGAAATTTTTATTTCCTATATATGACTGTAATGTAAATTTTGAGAGGCTATGATAAGAGCCTGAGATTTACAAAGTTTCTAGCAAATCTATTTCCAGTGACATAGGAATTACAAAAAAATACGTGTAGGCTCTTCCCCCCATAGAATAATTAGCAGTTCTCAATTATCAAGCTATTGTCAAAAAGTTAGTATTTATTCGTAGGTATTTCACATGCTATGATTTGTCATCTCATGGTTAAGTCATATTTGTTTCTAATCACCCTTAATGTTTTATAGGCATAATCACAAGAATGATACAATGAAATAGCAGATACTGTCTTCCATATTTTTATGTCTTACTGTGTGAGTGCTATTTTTGTTTAGAGAAACACAATGAAGAATAAATGTTTGAATAAAGTTTGCGTATATCATGCTGTGATCTGCAAAGTAGCACATTACTTTCTTGTTAACATCAAGAGTGGATTGCTGGTATCGATTTGTGTATGTTTTTATTTCAGTGTTAAAGCAGATTTTGTATCTCGTGCTACTCAGTTTTACATAATGTCATCAGATAATCCTACATATGTGTAATAGAGACATTACAGTTCATTTTAGAATCAGGTGGAGATTTTCTTTTAACTAGACCACTTTGACAAAATATTTTAATTTTCATGTGTTGTGTATTCAAATTGTAGTAATTTGTCATAATGTTTATAGTGACTTCTTAAAATCTTCAAAGATGCGATATTGACAAGTCTGTGGAAAATGACTAAGATTGATTGTGGACCTTTGGAGTTGATCTGTTTGGTAACGTTCAATCTGTCTGTGCTGTCCCACAGAGGTCCTTCTGTAGTGCCATGGTAGAAGAGCTGAGGATGTCCCTGAAGTGCCAGCGTCGGTTAAAACATAAGCCACAGGCCCCAGTTATTGTGAAAACAGAAGAAGTCATCAACATGCACACATTTAACGACAGAAGGTTGCCAGGTAAAGAAACCATGGCGTGAAGCTGGGAGGCCAAACACCCAAGCACAAACTGTCGTCTTTTTTCCAAACAATTTAGCGAGAATGTTTCCTGTGGAAATATGCAACCTGTGCAAAATAAAATGAGTTACCTCATGCCGCTGTGTCTATGAACTAGAGACTCTTGTGATCTAAACAGTTGCAGTGATCAGACTTGATTTACAAGCATCATGGATCAACTAAATTACACGGGGTTACACTGTTTATCATGGGTTCCTCCCTTCTTCTGAGTGAATGTTACACGCGCATTTTGTGGCTGGTTTCAAATGCAGTCCAGTGAGAAATTACAGGTTCCTCTTGAAGCCCAACTGTTGCCAGGAGATGGAATATCAATGTTCAACAGGGTAACCAGTACAAAAGTCATTAAGAATAAAAATACTTGGAATCAGCAAAAACTGTAGGGTTACAAGAAACGGTACAGTCTTCTGAACACCCGGAGAATAGAGGTGATGATGTTACTAGTCCCCAGCTACTCAGTATAATTGTCGTCTGAATAGATGATATGTGTTTATAGAATGTGAAAAAAAAAATGTAATGCAAACCAAATCTGAATTCCATGGCCAGTGGAATATAAAGAAGATCTTCATCAGTTATTTTCCTTTCTTTTCTTTCTTTGATGGTCTGTATCACTGA